GTCCTCCTTGTCGTTCAATTCAAAAAATTTTTTAATTTCTTCTTTGATCTCCTCATTAGTCCAGTGGTCTTCCAGTAGTGTGGTTTTTAATCTCCATGAGGTAGGAAAGTTCCTTGCCTTCTTTTTATGGTTTATTTCTAGTTTGATGCCTTCATGGTCAGAAAAGATGGTTGATATGATTTCAATCTTGGTGTATCTGTTGATGTTTGTCTTGTGCCCCAGTATGTGATCGATCCTGGAGAATGATCCTTGTGCACTTGAGATAAATGTGTACTCCGTTTTTTTTGGGTTTAGTGTTCTATAGATGTCTGTTAAGCCCAAATGCTCTAGGTCCTTATTTGGAGCTTTAGTTTCTTTACTTATTTTTTGTCTTGTTGATCTATCCATTGTTGATAGTGGTGTGTTGAAGTCTCCCACTACGTATGTGTTTTCTCTGATGTCTGTTTTCAGAGAGGACAACAGTTGTCTGATATATTTTGGTGCTCTTTCGTTTGGTGAGTATATGTTAATGAGTGTTATTTCTTCTTGAAGTATTGTCCCCTTGATCATAATGTAGTGACCATTGGGGTCTCTTTTTATCTTTTTGAGTTTGAAATCTGTTTTATCTGATATAAGTATAGCTGTTCCTGCTTTCTTTTTTGGTCCATTTGCTTGTAGGATTGTTTTCCATCCTTTAACTTTGAGCCTATTTTTATCTTTTGTAGCTAAATGTGTTTCCTGGAGACAGCAAAAGGTTGGTTTTGTTTCTTAATCCAGGCTGCAACTCTGTGTCTTTTTATTGAAGAGTTTAGTCCATTTACATTTAGAGTTAATATTGATATGTTAGCATCTGTATTGCCATTGTGTTTGTCTTTCTTTGATTTTATTTATTTATTCTTTTAATAACTTTTTTTTTTTTTTGGCCTTCTTTCATTGTTATTCGTCCCTCTGAGGTTCTGGCTTTAGGACTCCTTGTAGTATTTTTTGGAGTGGGGGTTTAGTTGCAATGAAATTCCGGAGTTTCTGTTTGTCTGGGAGGTCCATATTCTTTCTTCAAAGAGAAAGGAGAGCTTTGCGGGATAGAGAATTCTTGGTTGCATCTGTTTTCTTGGAGTCTGTTGACTATGTCCCTCCATTCTCTCCTTGCCCGTAGTGTTTCTTCGGAGAAGTCTGATGTCAGCCTGATTGGCTTTCCTTTGAATGTTATCTGTTTCTTCCCTCTTGCCAGCTTCATTATTTTTTCCTTGTCCTGGATTCTTGGGAGCTTTACTATTATGTGTCTTGCTGTATTTTTCCTTTCGTCGTGGAAGTTTGGTGTTCTTCTTGCTTCTTGTATATCAATTTTCAGCTCCTTCTTCACATTTGGGAAGTTCTCTTCAATTATCTCTTTGAATATTTTCTCTGTTCCTACATCTCTCTCCTCTCCTTCTGGTATTCCTATAACTCTTATATTTCCTTTCCTCATGGAGTCAGATAGTTCCCGAAGTCTTTCTTCGTTTTTTCCTTCGTACTTCTCTTTCCTTTTCTGTTTTGTTCTTTTTATTTCTGTGTCTTCAAGATTACTTATTCGTTCTTCCATTTCATCTATTCTGCTTTCATTGCTTTTCCCAGAATTCTTTAGTTCTTCCATTAATTCTTTGATCTCCTGCATTTCTTTTACTTCCTCTTTAGGGACTCAATTTCATTCTTCTGACCATTGTTTTCCCTGTCTAGGGACTCAATTGCATTCTTCTGATCGTTGATTATTTTTCCCTTATCATTGTTTTCCTTTATGACTTCTGTCAGTTTTTTAATCACGGCAATTTTAAATCTCTTCTGGAAGGCTCAGAAGTTCTTCCAAGTTACTGTCGTTGCAATCTGGGGCTGCTTTTCTTTTGTGGTGTGCTTTTTCCCTGGGGAGTTGCTAGGTTGCGTGTGGTTCTTCTCCTCCCTACTGTCTGTTTTCTAATTTGCCGTATGCGTTGGGACACTGTGTAGTTGGGACTGGCCGGCATCTGGGTGAGCTTCTCTGCTCTCCTCTGGTTCCTCCAGGAGTCATCTGTCAGTTTCAAGCAGTCTTTACTGGAGAAAGGTCCCTGTTCTAAAATGCCGATGTGGGGACACACTCCCCTGTGCGCCTGGTCTGCCCCGGCGGTGGGTTCCTGCTCCCCTCTGGGCTTGGACTGCAGGCCAGAGGGGGTCTGGCGTGGGCGAACTTCCCCCGCTCACCTCTGGCTCCTGAGGAAGCCTTCTGCAGGTAGTCTTTACTGAAGAAATGTCCCTGTTCTAAGATGGTGATGTGGGACACACTCCCTGTGCATCCGGTCTCAGGCACACTCTTCTGCGCGCCTGGTCTGCCCCGGCTGTGGGTGCTCGCTCCCCCTGTGGGCTCAGACTACTGGTCGGAAGGGGCCCGGCGTGGGTTAACTCCCCAGCTGGCCACTGGCTCCTCTAGGCGCCTCTGCTGGCTTCAAGTCGCTAGGTGGCGCCAGAGATCTCTCCTGGAGCCCTTGGGAGCTGATTTTCCACCCCGTGGGACAGGGAATAGAGCGGGAATGGTAGGGTAAACCTCAACGGCTTTGGGGTGCTGTGTCTGCCTTGTGCCCCACCATCATGGGGAACCCACGCCCCTAGTTTCGTGCCCCGGGTGTCAGTTCCAAAGCCCTCAGTTCCAGGACTCAGGCTGTAGCCGAGTTCAGTGGCGCGGGAATGGCGCCTTTTGAATCCCGCTCCCGTGCCTGGGCGCCTGGGCCTGCTCACTCAGTGAGGGCCTCCGCGCGTCTCCCGCAAGCCTAGGTCGCAGGCGCAGGGACCTGGGCAGCTGCGATCTGGATCCGCGTTTGCTTTTCAACTGCACTGCTTTTCCGCGCGCGATCCCGATTCCGATCTGCACTTGGTTTTCCAGCGCGCTGCTGTTCCACGCAATCCTGACAGCGATCCGCGCTGTTTTTCCAGCGCGCTGCCTTTCCGCCCAAGCTTACCAGGAGGCCCGGGGCTGTGTGCTGGTGCTGGTCTCCTCCCCGGGGGCGGGGTCTCTCTTCAATGGCGCCCGGAGCCGTTCGCTCACCTCCGCGGCGGATCCTGCGGGGTTCTCCACAGCTCCCGTTCACGGGGTGTGGTGGCTGCAATAGTTCCTTTCCACTCACGGTCCCGCTTGCTGCGTCGTTTGTTCTTGTTGGCCGTTTTAGTTTGTTCTTTTCCTCCTCTCTGCCGGTCGGAGAGTGCCGCCTCTGTGGGTGGGGGAGGGGAGCAGGGTTCTGCGCTTCCCTCCCTTCTGGTCCTCTTTTATGGCCACTTTCTTCTTCGGGCAGTTTGCTGGCGTCACCTGTTTATCTTCCGTGTCCCGGTTCTCACTGGGACCTGCCGCTTTTCCTCCCTATTAACTTTTTTTAATGGGAGATCTTACTCGCAGCGTCTCCTCGCTGCCATGTTGCTCCGCCCCCCCTTTTTTTTTTTGATAAAGAATGAGCTATCCTAGTCTCATTACCTTTTCATTTAATATTTAGAATAATTTTGTCTACAAAAAAAATCTTTCTGGGATGTTGACTGGAAGTATGTTAAATCTTTGTGTGTCAAAATGGGGAACCTTGTCATCACTGAACCTTTTAATCCAAACCATGTTAAGTGTCTTTATTTATTGAGATCTTTGATTTCTTTAATCAGTGCTGTATAGTTGTGGGCATACAAGATTGATTTTTTTTTTTTTTTAGATTTATGTCTACTAGTCCATTTTCTTAGTGATTGTGGATAGTACTATATTTTAATTTTGGTCTTCACATCCTCTGCTACTATAAAGAAATGCCACTGGATTTTTAATGTTGATATCATGTCCTGTGATCTTTTAAAACACACTTGTTCATTCTAGGATTCTCCCCTTCCCTTTCTATGTAGATCATCATATCATCTGCAAATAGAGACAGCTTTCTTTCTGATTTGTTTACCTTTCATTTCATTTTCTTACTTTATTGTACTGGCTGGAAGTTCTAGTTAGTCCTGTGTGAATAAGAGTATATCTGCCTTCATCCAGAGCTGGCAGGGAAGCATTCAGTCTTTCAGCAGTGAGTGTGGAGTACATATTCTACAGATGCTGTTTATCCAGTTGGGGAAGTCCCCATGGTTTTCTCACCATTCTTTGCATGAATGGGTATTGAATTTTGTCCAATGCTTTTTCTGTATCAATTGATATGACCATGGGGTATGGTGGGTTACATTGAAATTGAAATATTTAACCAGTTTTGCAATCCTAAAAATGGTCATGTCATATATTTCTAGTTATATATTGCTGAATTCTGTTTGCTAATATTTTATGAAAGGTTTTTGCATTTGTATTCATGAGAGGTATTTCCTATAGTTTTCCTTTTTTTTTTTTTTTTTTGCTATCTTTAATTCTGATACCAGGATAATACTAACTTTGAAAAGTGTTGTCCCTCTTCTGTTTCCTGATAGAGAATGTGTAGAATTGGTGTTATTCTCTAAATGTCTGATAGAATTCTCAAGTGAAACTATTTGGAGAACACTTTCTCAGGAACTGTAAAGTTATGAATTCAAATTCTTTAGTTATTATAGGGCTATTCCCATTATCTTTCATTCTGGGTAAATTATAGTATGTGTGTCTCAAGGTCCATTGTAAACTTACTCTGCATTCTGAATTTGTTAGCGTCTTTTCTCTATTTTTCTTGGTCACTCTTGCTGTAGGTTTGCCAACTTTATTGGTATTTTCAAAGAACCAGTGTTTGTATCACTGTTCTGTGCTGGACACTGACCCACCCATGGCACATGTGGGGCCCTGCAGCCCTCCTCACAGTACTACCACATAGGTGCCATGGCACCCCATTACAGAAGGGGGACCTGCACAGCAGTGGCACTGTAACTGGCTTGGGGATCTCCCTACCAGCTGGTGGTGAACCTACAATTACATCTCAGATCCCCAAGTGCAGCCTAACTCTGCAGAGGGCAGTGACGCAGAGTGGAGGGAGCATGAGTTCTTTTCTTCAGTAAATGGAGAATTTGATTATCTCCCTTTCTTTTCACAATGGCTGCAGCGGAGGGCATTGAGAACAACTTCAGAGAAACTCAGAAACCGCTCATCTTTCTCTACGAATGTTGTCTATACCACCCCGGGCACACGTGTTAACAGGTACATTGGCCGCCTCCTGGAAGCCCGCCAGACAGAGCTGGAGATGGCTGACCTGAACTTCTTCACTCTGAAGTATAAGCAAGCCGAGCGAGAGCGAAAGGTAGGTCATCCGTCTCAGTGACCAGAGATGCCGGGCCCCAGATGCAGCTACACTTGCTGGCCCTTCTCCTGGTCTGTGTGGGCATGGGCACTGTCCTTCTCCACCCATAATGGTTCTGAGCATCCTCGGTATCCCTGGGAAGACAGAGTCTGCATGTCTCCTGGAAGCTGGGCCACTGATGGTCAATTCTGTATCCCATAGTACCACCAGCTTCAGGACGAGTATTTCACCAGTGCCGTCGTGCTTGCCCTCATTCTGGCTGCCTTATTTGGCCTTGTCTACCTTCTCATAATCCCACAGTAAGTGTTGTCCTGTGTCCTGCCATAAGATGAAGTTATTGGGAATTTCTTTATATTCAAGTTTGACTCCCAAGGTTAGTCTCCTGTCATGCCCAGTGTTTGGGGATGCATGAGCCACGTACCACTTCTCCATTTATTCAAGTAACTAGTTGAGCAAGCCTTTATGCCAAGTTGTATGGGACTGGTACTCTTGATTTTCAATTTTTAATTTACTTACTTCTAAGACACTTGTATTATCCATGTCTTTGACCACGCACCAAAGACGTCATGATAGTTTCTGAGGGAAAAAACCTACAGCACACCTAATGGATACTTGGTTTCTAGGTGCATGGCATTTTTCAGAAATATTAAAATGAGGAAAAGTGACCCTTGAAAAGGAAGAAAACTGTGATTTTAATTTGGCAGGTTTTTTTTTTAATCAAAGAAGACCCCAGAAAACCTTCACTCTGTACCCCCCACCCTGCCAACATCCTTTCTTAATAAATTTCCTTATTGGAGTAATTCTCCTGAGAGATTCAAGAAAAACACATAGAAACTGTCCTGTTCCCCCTCCCCCCCACCCCCCACCCCAGACAATGTGAGCACACGGTGAGGGTCACTGCCTTGATGGACCTATATGGGATCAAACCTTTTCTAGGGAACCCCTTCCCAGACAAAGTACAGTAAAAGAGCAGAGTCCAGTGGCCACGTCGGTGCAACTTTAGTGCTTCTTGAGGAAGGCACCTCTAGGAAGTTCTCAGGACTGGGGATCCTGCAAGCTACAGGGGTAGAACTTGGGAGTGGACACGGGAAGAGAACCAGCTTAGGCAAGACCCCGGAGACTTGATGCTTCTTCCTGAGGTTCTGCTTCTTCCTGAGGGCTGGGTGACATGCTGGGTAGAGTGTGGGATGTGGGTTGATTCCCAGGCACCTTTAGGGCACGCTTCACCTTGCCCAGCTCACAGTAACTGTATGTCTTCTATATCTAGGAGTCTGGCCCTCCTGCTTCTGTTGGTGTTCTGCATCTGTTTCCTGGTGACCTGTGTTCTGTACCTGCACATCACCCGGGTCCAGGTATGTACATGTACCTGTGTTTCACCTAATTCAGGAATACTCATGAGTGTATCCTATACCTGCATATCTAGAGAAGTGCATGTGTGTATGTGTTGTATACCTACACAACATGTGGGTTGGTATGTGCATGGCTGCTGCCTATTCTCCTAGCATGGCTAGTCAGGAAATGGAGGCATTTTGCCCCCATGCTCTCCTGGAAGGTAGAACATGTTGTCTTCATAGTAGGAATGCATTTGAGCACCTCGTGTGCTAGGCACTGTTGGGAGTTCTGGGAGCCTGCCCAAGGATACAAGGAGTTGTGACTGAGAGTGATTAAATAAATGAACAGGAGATGTGATGCTTTTCTCCCAGTGTGGAGCTTCCCTCAGGTCAGGAGAGTATTGGTAGGTTGTGTGTTTGTGTCATGGATTGGGGAGTCCACACTAGCAAGGATTGTGTTCTGACTTGCTGGTCTACATGTTTGGGGCCACAGGGTGAGCTTGGCAGCCCTGCACATCATGATCAGGGGGAAGACTCAGTTTTTCCCAGTCCTACATTTCTTTCTCACATCCCAACCTTTGTCTCCAAATGTTTCTTTCCCTTCTATCTCCACTGTCATGACTGGCAGACCCAGTGTTAATTTTACTTGTTCTTGAAAACAGCCACTCTTAGAAAGGTTAAATCTAGTTTTATTTGTTAACTTTACATCAGTAACTTTTTGACTTTTTAAAATAGAAATGCTATGCATTCAGACTGCATTTCTAGCTCTTTGATTTTCACGTGTCGAGTGGCATTTAGTGTGGTAAATTTTGAAATTTCCAACTTCAAATGAGATTACTGTATTCACATAATTTCAAATGAAGGTATGACAAATGGATGCTAATTTCTAAAGCCCATCATAGTTATCCCTAGTGTTGGGAATCCGTGTGCCCAGTGGGGACAGATAGCACGAGACATGCAGAAACATGAACTGGGAAAAAATAGCAAATACTGAGACCTCATCAGTGTACCTAGCATGGGGCTGTCCCAGGATGGATTTTTTTCACTTGTAAGATTTCCATAAAGTTGACCAAAGAGGGCAGGGTGGCTGGTTACCTGCTTTCCTATATCAGAGAAATCAAGGCTCAGGAAGGCTAAGTGACTTTCGCACATGACTGTAAAGCAAAATCTGACCCAGACCTTCCGTTTCTAGAGATAGTATTCCAAATGAAAACACATGATTTCACCAAATACATATGTCCTCAGAATTCAGGAAATGGGTGCTGCCTGCCTGGAATCAGTTTCCTTTGCTGAAAATGCTAGAGATAGACCTGTTGGTGACATTAAACACAAGGTAGCCCAGATTTTGACATAGCACCTCCCGTGCACTGATATGGCCTACTCCTGCAGGGTTTGTCCAGCTGCACTAACCCCTTTCTGAAAGTTCACCCTCCCCTTCTCATGAGCCTGAACATTTTTCTAAGTTTGTGATTTTGAAGTGAAAGGCTTTTTAGAGAGCTGCAGTTGGTCCATCTAATGCTATTGATTTTAGAGGATAGGAAGCACAAATAGGAGAGGGAGGAACTCCAAAGGCTGTCCATGGGGCAGGATAGATAGCTTAAGAGTCTGAGGCAAGAGATTGAAAAAAGACAAAATTGGCCAGCTTGATGCCAAGACCCAGGGCTACTGGCCATGAGCATTTCTGTGCAGGAACCAGAACTGAACCAGATTAGGTCAGTTGAAAGAGTGGTCAGCAATGTGTTGAACTGGCCGCTGGGCCTTTACAGATTCATGGTGCACTCACTCTGAGACTTCATCCCTCTGTTATTCATAAGAAAATTTCAGACCTTCTAGGAGAAAAGGAACTTTTGTTTAAGGATCAAAGCAAAGAGCTGAGCCATGTACCTATGAGGAACTTGGCTAGAACTCATGTGTTTAGACCATTAGAAAAAGGTTTTCAACTCCCTAGTCCTCAGATGTGGGTACTGTGATGCTCAGATACTGGCCCCAGTGAACCTAGAGGTGAGCTGCAGGGCTGCTCTCATTCCTGCCCTAGCCCCTGCCCAGACCCAGATGCTGCAATGCCTGGATCCTGGACCCAAGTAGACTTGGAGTGAATTTCTAGCACCACACCAAACCCCACAAGCACCAACTGCCATGCCCACCAACTGGTAAACACCCTAAACAGCGGAAAAGGAGGACCCACACACAACAAAGTTTCCTACTACAGAACAAACTGAAAGTAAATGATGGGAGAGAAACAGAAATGCAAATGGCCAAGCAAGTCCTCAGGGGAACAGTAGATCATGGAGAGAGAAAACAAATATCCAGGACCAACTCACAAAGACATGGAAGAGCTTTTATTCCTATCAGATGCAGAAGTAAAAACTGCCATATTATTAGAAAATCAAAGAATTGGAGCAATACAAAGAAAACTCTGTTTTTCATAGCATTCATTTCTTTTTTGAGTTTTCCTGCATATCTCTAAACTGTCTGAGTTATGATCAAATTTGAACCTCTAAGTAAGAAAATAGTAGAAATTCAAAAAAGTGGAAAGGTAAGTGGAGGAGATGAAACATTCTTAGAAAGTCAAAGAAGTAGACTAAACTAATGCAAAAATAAATAAGTAAGATCAAAGAGTCAAATGGGGAAAAAATCAAAATAGAAAAAAGAGAGATACAAAGCTAAAAAAATGAAGAAAGACTTGGAGAATTATCTGATGCCATGGGTATCTCAGAAAGAGAGAGATAAGGGAACTGGAAAATTATTTTAAAAAATAATGGAAGAAGGGCCTCCCGGTGGTGCAGCGGTTGAGCGCTGGGCTGCAAAGCTGCCTGCAGCCTCTGCAGCGCCTGTTCAATCCCTGGCCAACGGGTGAGGGTCCCACATGGCGCACAGACCTCTCCTGCTGCCCGCTGCTCCCCTCAGCAGTGTATTATTTCTTAGTCAGTCTGCCTGTTCTGTTCCCCGCTCCGGCTCTGGTGAATTCTCTCACCCTCCCGCACTTCTGACTGTATGTACCCAGTGCTTGTATAAATAAATAAATCAATCTTAAAAAAAAAAAATAATGGAAGAAAACTTCACAAACTTGGAGAGGGAACTGAACATAAAAACACAGGAAGCTAACAGAACACCAGGTTACCTAACACCTAAGCAAAAAAAAAAAAAAAAAAAGACCTACAGTAAGAGATGTAGTAGATATAGGGGTCTTCCCTGGTGGCTCAAGGGTTAAGATGCAACCTATGAAGCAATCTGAAGCCACTGCAGCACAAATTCGATCCCCAGTCAGGAAGCAACCCACATGGTGCAGCAGACCTCTCCTGACTCGCCCGCTGCTCCCTCAGCAGTGTATTCCATTGAGCTGCCTGTTCTGTTCCCCACTCTGTCTCTGGTGAATCCTCTTACCCCCCCCCAACCCCCTCTGGCCTGTACCCAGTTCTTGTATGCATGAATAAATAAATCTTTTTAAAAAGATATATAGTAGATATAGTAGTAAAACTTCTGAGACCATGACAAAGAAAAATAATGAAATTGATAAAAAGGAAGAAACAAATGACCTATAAAGGAATCTTGACTAGGCTAACATCAGGCTTCTCTGAAGAAACACTATGGGCAAGAAGATATTAGAATGAGTAATTCAAATACTTCAAGATAAAAATTGCTAACCAAGAATACTCTATCCTGCAAAACTCTTCTTCACATATGTGAGAGAAACAAAGACCTTCTCAGACAAACAGAATCTCAGGGAGTTTTTAACCACTAAATGCCCCTCTCCAAGGAATATTGAGTGAAGCCTTAGTAATTAAACTAAAGAGAGGAATAAACACTCAAAAAAGCTGAACAAGCAATTAAATAGAATCACAAAATTAAGGATGAAATGGCAGCAGCAAACTTTCATATGTCAGTAATCACCCCAAATGTAAATGTACTATAAACTCATCAATAAAAAGACACAGAGTTATGAGTTGGATCAGGAAACAGAATCCAACCTTCTGCTGCCTCCAGGAAGCACACCTAAGTTCCAAGGATAAACATACACTTACTTAAGGATGGAAAACAATTATGTAAGCAAATGACACCAAAGGAAGGCATGGACAGCCATACTTAATGTCAGATAAAATGCACTTCCATGTTAAAAAGGTAACCAGAGACAAGGATGGACACTATACAATGATTAAGGGAACAATATAGCAGGAAGAGATAATACTCATCAATATATACTTACTAATGAAGGAACATCAAAATACATCAGACTATTACTATTAAATCTGAAAATAGACATTAGAGAAAACAACTCAACTACAAAATAAAATAATGAAGTACTCTAATGCATTGATTATACAACCCACTACTGAAAGGCCACTGGGTTAATGAGGAAATCAAAGAAGAAATCAAAAAGTATTATTTCTCTTAAGAGAAATAATAATGAGGGCACAAACTTTCAGAATGATGGGAACAGCAAAAACAGTATTAAGAGGGAAGTATGTAGCAATACAGGCCCACATCAAGAAAGGAAGAGCCCAAATCAACAACCTTGCCTCTCATCTCAAGGAACTTGAAAAGATTTAAAAACCTAAAATTCAGCAGAAGGAGGAAGAAATCTATTTCTGTAAATGAAATGGAAATTGAAAAGATAGTCCAACAGATCAGTAAAACCGAAAGCTGATTCTTTGAAAAAATGAATAAATAGACCAGCTTATTAGAAAAAGAGGAGAGTAAAAAAATCAAATGAAAGAGAAAGAAAATTACAACAGACTGCAGAATTCAAAGGATAATCAGATTATTATGAACATTTATATGGAAACAAGTTTGACAACCTAGACAAGATGGAAGCATTCTTAACATTATACAGTCATCCATGATGGAGTTATAAAAGAAAAAAGCCCTGAACAGATGAATCACAAACAGGAGGAAATTGAACAGAAATCAAGACTTTACCAAAAAAACAGAAGTCCAGGACCAAATGCTTCACAAGCAATTTCTACCACACTTTCAAAGATGAACTAACACCTATTCTGCTTGAACTCTCAACAAATTAAGCA